GCCAAAACCTCGAAAGGGGTAAATGAAAAACAATTGGCCATATATGCATTTTCGGGGCGGCTAAACGAAACAAAAAGTGTTTTCTCTAATGCGAGTACTTCCTCTTATGCAACCCACACGGCATTGAATTCTTAGCACTGATAAGCGACGATCTCGCTCTCGCCCCTATCGCTGCCTCTGCCCTCTCTATCGCACACGTGCTGTTGCCAACCCAGCCGATAGATGGATGACGCTTTTCGCACGCTCTCTCCCTCTGCCACTGCCGCTGCCCCCATCTCCGCCCCGCTCTCCCGCAACTGTTGCTGAACTTGACGTCGACTGCGGCCTCGCTGACGCCAACGCCAACGCAGGCAGCGCAGGCTAGCTGGCTGATTCCGGCGTACGGTACTTTCACAAGCAATTTAGTTGCCGTCCGGTTAAGACCTTTGAATTCCAAGGGAAAGGATAAATATTTTTTTTTCGGTTTTGTGCTGTGATATAAAACACATACAAATAGTACGTATGCATTGAAATTAAATTGAATAACTCGACTGCATCCACATCTGCATCTGCAATCGAACGAAGCAACGCGAGTGACTAGATTTTTTTTCTTCGAACTTCCAATCAAATTGATCTGATGGAAGAGAATATTCCGTTCGCTGGTTACATAAACCGAGCTGACTTGAATCGCTTGGTTACTTTTTTTTTTTTGTGGTTTACGGTGCTGCTCTTATGCAATCAATAACAATGAATTAAGCACAACTCGCCTGGATTGGATACAACTCGGAGAAGCTTTAGCTTTCCACGTGCAACTTTCTTTTGGGGCCAACTAGAATTTTTCCAGCTGCGGCTATTACATCACGCTCTCTTCGCTGCTGAAGCAAAAGCTTTGGGGCTCTCTTCAGCCCCGATTAGATAACCACCATAGAACAGTTGGCCAAAGAGAGAGGGGACAATGAAGAGAAAGCAAGCCAAGTTCCGCTCTTGCTCGTGTCTCTTTTGTCTTTGTCAAGTGTTACATAAACCCATCAATGAAAGGCGGTGCGGTGCGGCCTAGAATATGCTAATTGAATTTCGCTAAAATATAGTGAAACGCTCTCTTCTAGCTCTGGTGCTGCTGCTGGCGCTTCTTCTTTGCACACTTGAAATTCTAAAATTATCGAACACGCTTCAATGGCAAAAGCCAGCTGCCAAAAAAAAGAACAGAAAAGAATAAGTTTTGGCCCCTATAGCCATCCCACTCTCACTTGCGCCAATACCCATACACCGAATTTTCCATTGAACTTTCCTCTATTATTTGTTCTCTGCCTTGAGTGTGGCAATTATGCAATCCAAATATGCAAACATTATTGCTCTTGCTAAATGAAAACTAGAAAAATGCAGTTTCAATTAACAACTAAGAGCAAGATGCACAGTAAATGGAAAGAGTTGAACACAAGCGGCGGCCATGCCACGTAACCAACTCAGTGGAGGAGGAGCTTCTCTTAAATTTCGAGGGCAACTCTTTATTGAGTTAGGGGCTCCAAACTGGTTGGAGCTCAAACCGAATACACTGAAAATTGCCATTTATTCAAACCACGTGGCAAGTTCAGCCGGCCTTTAATTGTTGTTGGGGTATTATTATTTTTTTTTGCAAACATTAACTGGTTTTAGCCAATACCAATACAGTAATTTATGAGTAACTAAGGAGAAAAGCTAAACAAGTCACTACCGCTCACATAACTAACCCCACATTCTATTCTCTATTATCTATTCATTTATGTATTTATATGTATTTATGTATATTTGTTTGTAACTAGATCACCAAAATAATCTTTGTTTCTTAACCCCATTTTATACCATATTCCAAAACACATTTAATTATTATTATATTATTAATTATTACTTATAAGTTGTACTAAAATTTGCTTGTTTTTAACCTTCCCGCGCTCTCGTTACGTTTTTATTTCTCGCTATACCTATTCGTTTTCGTTTTAACCCCATTCATTTAACAAGTGTTGTACATAGTGCGAATAAAAAAAAAATAAAAAGAAAAAAGAAAAGTGCATGTCTCCTGCTTTTGGTTTGTATCATTATTTTACTCACATCTTTATTTGGCTTTTGGGTTATTCTTCTTGTGCCTTATGCACCTGTGTATATAAAAAAAAGTGAATCCATCATTATCGTTCGTTCGTTCATCAATCGTAAATCGTATATCGTACACCGTAAATCGTAAAAAAAATTATGCAACGCATGGGGAACTCCCACCCGTGTATGAAACATCCATCCATCCAACCATCAATCAATCAATCGAACCGCCACAGAGGTGATCATTCCATCAAGACTCCATCAAGAAATCAAAAGAAGAGAGAATGTGAAGGAGATGTCGAGACGACGATTAATTGAAAGTTTGGGTGCCATCACCCCTATATATATGTGTTTACAGCAAAATGGGCAAGGATTTCGATGCTGTTGGATTCGTCAAGGACTTCGCTGCCGGAGGCATCTCCGCAGCCGTCTCAAAGACTGCCGTCGCCCCCATTGAGCGTGTGAAGCTGCTCCTGCAGGTTCAGCACATCTCGAAACAAATCAGCCCCGACAAGCAGTACAAGGGCATGGTTGATTGCTTTATCCGCATTCCAAAGGAACAAGGTTTTGGCTCGTACTGGCGCGGTAACTTGGCCAACGTCATCAGATACTTCCCGACCCAGGCTCTGAACTTTGCCTTCAAGGACAAGTACAAGCAGGTAAAGTATATTTTTCCGTCAACTCTAGCGACTTTTTAATTATAATTTTGCTGTTCTTATCTCCATCATTAGGTCTTCCTGGGAGGTGTTGACAAGAACACCCAGTTCTGGCGTTACTTCTGCGGTAACCTGGCCTCCGGTGGTGCCGCTGGTGCTACCTCTCTGTGCTTTGTCTACCCCTTGGACTTTGCCCGTACTCGGTGAGTTTATAACAAAACTAGGAAATTTATGCAATCTGTGGCTAATGTTATATTTTCTTTCTTTAATCCAGCTTGGCTGCTGATACTGGCAAGGGTGGTCAGCGTGAATTCACCGGTCTGGGCAACTGCTTGACCAAGATCTTCAAGAGCGACGGCATTGTCGGTTTGTACCGCGGCTTCGGTGTGTCCGTCCAGGGCATCATCATCTACCGTGCCGCCTACTTCGGCTTCTACGATACCGCTCGCGGTATGTTGCCCGACCCCAAGAACACACCCATCTACATCAGCTGGGCCATCGCCCAGGTTGTGACAACCGTTGCTGGCATCGTCTCGTATCCCTTCGATACCGTGCGTCGTCGCATGATGATGCAGTCTGGCCGCAAGTCCACCGAGATCATCTACAAGAACACACTGCACTGCTGGGGAACCATTGCCAAGCAGGAGGGCACTGGTGCCTTCTTCAAGGGCGCCTTCTCCAACGTTCTCAGAGGCACTGGCGGTGCTTTCGTGCTTGTGTTGTACGATGAGATCAAGAAGTTCTTGTAAATTAAATTATTAAATTATTCAAACAAAACAACAGCAAAATACAACAACTACATACAACAACAACAAAACAAAAACAAGAAAACTAAACACTACCAGCTATAATTATGTTAGATAACTGAAAGAGCAACAGCAACAGCAAATGTTTGATCTGCAAACCAAAATCACCTTAGCAAGAACAACGGCAAGCAATAAGAAAAATCACCCTTTTTTCCCTCGCCCCCCTGTCCCCCCACAGATATAATTATGAAATTATATTATATATAATAACTGGGAACGATGGATGGCCAGAATCAATAGAACAACAAAGCAAACGGCAAAACAGCAACAGAAGAAATAAATACGCTAGGAGAAGAGGAAACGACTCGGCTCATGGGAGCACCCAGTATACACTGAAAGACGAACGAACATAGCGACGATATTGATATTGATTAGTATTGTTAAGTTTGGGTTAGGCTATATCCATTATATCCTATCTGTCATGCTGCTGGGTCGCGCCATCTCCACAGCCAAAAAAACAACCAGAGTGTTATCGATAGGAGTACCCAAAGAATCTCGACCGAACATCTGTAGAGATTTTTTGGCCTCCGACACGACACGACTCGACAAACAACAAACTCAACCTAGGTTGGTTTAAAAATATATAAAAATTGATAAAAATAGTACAATGTTGTGTTTTATTTATTATTCACAGCGAGATTTGTGTATATGTGTTTGTGTATATGTATATTGCTCTGGCAGTATTATGGCCTACATCTGACCTTGGTTGGGTGCAAGGGTTAAGGGGGTTGAACCAAACCATGTGAGGGTTTAAAAAATTTAAAAATATCTATATTTTGTTATAAATAAATCGCTTCTTTAATTAATTTTTATTTTTTCAATGTTCTATGTATATTATACGTATTCAAACGGACATTGCGTGAACTAGGATCTTTTGGTTACCTCACGTCGTTTTTTATAAACTGCAAAATAGACAAAAAAAAAAAAAAGAAATTGTTTTTTTGGAAGAAAAAAAATTTAAACCAATTTTTGTCAATATTCATATAAATTTAAATATTTATATATATATTTTTGAATTCATTTTATATTTATATAAATATTTAATCAAATAAAATTAAAATAATTTAATTAAAATTAAATATTGAAAGAAAAGTTATAAATTTATTTAATTAGTTTTATATATACCATAAATATATTTAAAGGAAACAACAATCTTAGATCATTGCTATGTCCGCATATGTATATCCAGATTATAATTGCATTTAAATTTTAAAATCGTCCCATCCAGTTCGCCAGAATCTTTATTTTCAGCGTAATAATTTGGCAACCTATATCTTGAAAAGTTTACAATATTTCAACTTAATTTTTTTTTTTAAATTACTTTCAACTTAATAAATTATAAAAAAATTTAAATTTTTAATTCTAAAACCTCTTTAGAAAAATTAAAAAAAAAAATAAAAAAAACGGGTTATATGGGTCAACCCTCCCTTAACTGCCATTAAGCCAAATATCTACATCAAAGTTGGCCAAGACAACTCCATCGCACCTGAATCGAACCGACAACCGTCTGGGCTTAGAATCTCGTCAGGCCTGCGTCAGTTCGGGTCTCAGTTCCGTTAATAAGTTAGAAATTATTTAAATTCGTTTATATCAAAATTATACGTTGTTATACCGCGTTTTACAGTCTTGAATTCTTTGTTTTTTTTTTTTTTTTACCAATAAACCAAAAACAGCTAAGAATTCTCAACAATGGGTGAAGAAGGCGGCGGTGGCGGTGGTGGAAAGGGCGATCTTAAGTCCTTTCTCATGGATTTTATGATGGGCGGCGTTTCGGCGGCGGTTGCCAAAACAGCTGTGGCGCCCATTGAGCGCGTTAAGCTACTGCTGCAGGTGCAGGAGGTTTCCAAACAAATTGCAGCGGACCAGCGTTACAAGGGCATTGTCGATGCTTTTGTTCGCATTCCCAAGGAGCAGGGATTCGGGTCGTTTTGGCGCGGTAACTTGGCCAACGTTATACGTTATTTTCCCACACAGGCCCTGAATTTTGCCTTCAAGGATGTGTATAAAACGGTAAGGCAATCACCGGAGGTCTTGATCTTCGACCTCATTGAGTGATTTCACTTTCTTTTACAGGTTTTCCTCGGAGGCGTTGACAAGCATAAGCAGTTCTGGCGTCACTTTGCGGGCAATTTGGCCTCTGGTGGTGCAGCCGGTGCAACGTCCTTATGTTTTGTTTATCCCCTGGACTTTGCAAGAACCCGGTAAGTGATGATTACACATTTTTTTTAGGGGGCTTTAATATATACAGGGATTGCAATTAAAAGAGTGATCCCTAAACATACATATTTTATATCATATCTGCTGCTGCTCCTTTAGATCTAGAGGCTATCTAGCCTGTAGCTTTTGTAAAACTCGTCATAAAACTGTTAACCTAATCCTATACCCATCCTCCTCCTTGCTCCTGCTCCCTCTCCCCTTAGTCTGGCCGCCGATGTGGGCAAAGGAGGCTCTCGGGAATTCAATGGCCTTATCGATTGCCTGGTGAAGGTGATCAAAAGTGACGGCCCCATTGGTCTCTATCGTGGCTTCATCGTATCTGTACAGGGTATCATTATCTACCGTGCCGCCTACTTTGGCTTTTACGACACATGCCGCGATTACTTGCCCAATCCAAAGAATACACCCTTCTATGTGAGCTGGGCAATTGCCCAGGTGGTGACCACCATAGCGGGTATTGCCTCCTATCCATTCGATACGGTGAGGCGTCGCATGATGATGCAGTCGGGCCTAAAGAAATCGGAGATGATTTACAAGAATACAGCCCATTGTTGGATGGTAATTGCCAAGCAGGAGGGTGTGGGTGCCTTCTTCAAAGGTGCATTCTCCAACGTTCTCAGAGGCACGGGCGGTGCTCTCGTGTTGGCACTTTACGATGAAATGAAGAAGTACTTTTAGTCCCGATTTCTGGTCAATAGTAGGAAGCTGGAATTGGAAACAGCCGGCGGACCATCAGTCGCGTGTCGTCACGAAGCCAAATACCATCGGTCATCATCAGCTCAAACATCTAGTCAACGCACCAGCCCCACCATCACCACCAGAAGCAGCAGGATAATCATCTGCACCCACCAAATCAGAGATTGCTGCTTCAAGGAAGTTGAGAGATGGAGACCACTGAGACCCTGGGGCGCTGCGAGATCTTTGGTTTTTGTTCATGGTCAAAATTATAAAGTGATTTTGAGAAAATACAAATATTTTATTGAACTTAACTCATTGTGGCGCTATTTGTTACTCCATTTGCCTCGCTTTGTATGTGTGGTATGTGTAGCTCCAGTGCAAGTTTATTGTGTTGTCTGTGGCTGTTTCCAGGGCGGGTCGCCTTTACTCTAGGCAATAAATAATCTGACCATTATCGTTTAACTTTTGTGAAATATGAAACAGACTGGAATTCCGTGACTATGAATACTAGGCTATATTTTACCCTCGGTAATCATAAATTGAACTTTAGACAACTTTTTGTCTCAGTTAAAAGTGAAAATAAATTAAAACTTTACTTTTTTAAAGCGCCAAAACCGAACTAGAGTAGAGGGAATAAGAGAAAAAATAGCTATTGAAAACATAAAAAATATTCAAAATATTTAAAACACTCAAAATATTCAAAATCTATAAAATATTAAAAATGTTAAAAATCTTCAAAATATTAAAAATATTTAAAATAATCAAAATTGTTTAAATATTAAAAATAGAATGTAAATAATAAGATGCATAACGCCACTAGAATTTGTCTATCAAAGTCAAACAATCTTTTTGTAACAAAATTTTCCCAGCAACAGATTACACAGGTCGACAGCTTACTTTTCCAATACTTTTCCATGCGCTCACCTCAAATTTTAGACTTAAAAGTGTGGAAATATAGGTTTTTGGGTATTTTTAAAGGTGCTATAACTTCAATGATAATAAAAATAATGGAACATTCTTTCTGAATAAATAAAAAATAAATAATAACAACTTATTAAATTTATAGCGCCTCAAAAGTGGTTCTCCGATTTCTTTTTAAATTTCCTCAGCATTATCCATCTATATAACCTTCTATAAAAATGTCCTTTAATAAATATAACCTTTAATAAAAATGCAAAGTTGTTAAAGGGGATTTGGTTTTAGATACTATATAGATCCAGATCCATAGTCTGGGTTCTTTGGACCAGGCGACCCACCCCCACCCCATGTAGTCTCGTGTGTGCATGTGTGTGTGCTGGTGGGTTTCATCTTAAATGTTAGCATCGGCGTTAAAGTTAGGCATTAAAAAATAACATTAAAAACAAATCAAGTCGAGAAAGGCTTAGGCTTTCCATTGAGCTGATGATGTATGTTCCTGCTCCTCCTTCACACATTCATCATAAATTACTCGTAACAACAAAACAAATTACAAAAAAAATACGTTCACAAGCAAAGAGACGCTATTACAAACAAGTAAGCTCGACTTGCACTTATTCTGTTAACAATTAGATATTATTCTAAGCATAACTTCCAGCTTCCAACTCGGCCATCCTTCGTCGCTCCAGCAGCTCCAATTCGGATTTAATGGGTGGCCCCGGAACGGTGCGCCAGGAACAGGAAATATGTGCCCGCCGCATAGGCCAGGAAGTTGAAGAGACCAAAGACGCCGGCAGCCGTGTTAGAGCCAGCACCCTTAGCGGCAGAATCCGACCATCTGGCCAGCTGGACAATGAAGCCGATGAAGTACAGCAGCGTTAGCACAGCGGTGGTTATCAGTTCCTGCAGGCAAAGAGAGTGAAGAGTGAGTATTATTTCTTACATTGAATATATATGAAATTACTTACCGAGAATATCCAGTTTACGGCCACGTTGAGGGCCTCGCGAATGCCCAGGAAGTAGGCGGCAATCAGCAGGATGGTGATGATGAAGGAGATCACGATCACGAACATGAAGAACGAGGTGGCTGAGTTCATGGGCGGAGCGGCCAGAGCCATGCAGATGATGCCCAGCACCTGTGAGTAGAGGGGGAATAGAGAAATAAGTATTATAAAAGACTAAAGAATTTAAAAAGGACTTTAGTAACCTTAGTATAAGCCCCTTAGTATAAACCCCTCTTCCCTGACCTCTGCCCCTGTAAGGATCAAAAAGAAATCAAGTATAGTCTCTCTTCTAATGGATTTCTCATTGATATTTCTATTAACTAAGCCCCCAGATCGTGATCTCCAATTGAAGGGGCCTCTTCAAGGCCACGCTGTGTATTTGGTGTGAGAGCATGACATGATGTCACCTTCAATTGAGCACAGAATCTGAATGCACACACCATGAATGGAATGGTTGTGTTGTGTTGAGCAGCGGAGATAGTTTTCCGTCTAATTAGACTTTGAATTTTTAAAATTTTACTGCATATTTTTGTTTCCCAGAGAAAGGAATTAGCTATAAATTAATTTTTATTGTGAAAATGACTATCAAGAAGTCACAATTATAAATTTTTAAGTTTAGTAATGCACTTCTCTCACCGGGTTTGTTTAGTTATTAAATTTGTTTTTTTTTTTTTTTTAATTATTATTTTAGTTTGAACTTTGCAAAGCAATAAAGGAGTCATTTCCAACCCTATAAATCATATATCTTCTTGATCAGCATTAATAGGCGAGTTATTCTACTCATGTGTGAACAAAAAAAAAGGTTTGAAATATTTTCAGAATTTTTTAAGGTTATATCATTAAAATTCTTAAAAATTAACTAAAAATTAGTGTTCTACAAATTTGAAAATACAGTATGCAGATTTGTTAGCATAGCAAAACTTTCCGAATTGAATTTGGTGCGTTTTTGGATAAGTTATGCAATTTTTAAACATTGATTTGTTCCAATAAAAACATTAATTTAAAGTTCCCATAATGGGAAAATTTATAGTAGCAAATAATTTTAAATTCGTTTTCACTGAACAAAATTTCATTAAAATTGGCTAAACAAATTTAAAAAATTGTAAATTAATATCCTTTTGGCTTAGTTATAATATATTTAAAATTCGACATCCAAAAACAATTCCAAAAATTCGAGGGTAAATAAATTAATTCTTCTCGAAATTAAGTTCCCTTTCTTGTTTTAGGTAAACTAATTTATTTAAATAAATATAATTTATATAATAAAATTATTTAAAATAAAATAGTACCACAAAATCTTCTAAAAAAAACATCCCCTGAAAATCAGACCATTTCTTCAAAAGAAGTCTACGCCCACTGATAATCTCCCTCTATCTGTGATGCGGTTCTTCGATATGGATTCATGACTCAGTGCTCATCACTTGTAATTGATTTGTATACGAACCAGAGACTATCTTTGAGTGCCAAGTGACTCTGCTGAAGCTTATCGAAATTCAGGCAAATTCACAGGGTGATTTTGGCCAAGTCTTAGAACAACCTAAGCCTGGTTATGACCAAGCCCAGGTACTGCCAGGTGACGTGTTTGCTTTAGGCAATTAAAAAGCAATAAGCTTTTGGCGACACCAAAACGAGAAAAAAAAATAAAAACAAACACCGGGGAACAGGTGTGCATTTGCTTTTGGCTAAAACAAAAGGTGCACGAAAAAAAAGTGAAAGCTGAAAGTTGTGGCCGGGCCAAAAGCGACCTGTTGATGCCGCCTCAGACAGAGACTCTGGCAACATGTTGGTGTTGATGTCGATGCCGATGTTGATGTTTTTTCTTTGCTATCTGGCAAACAATTAACCAACGAGAGACAGGAGGCGGCCGGCGCCAAATCAAAAGGTTGATTGAACTGTCAGCGATGTGTTGATCTTCGATTGCATTCCCCTAAAAAAAACACTTCTATACTAGCAGACAAGCAAACACTCTTGAATGGTGTTGTTCTTTTTGGCTTTTTTCTATTTTTACATTTTTTTTTTAAGACACCGGACAACGCCTCTCCCAGAAATTTGCGTCACGTTTTGAAGAAAAAAAAAAAAAAAAACAAGAGCGGTAAGAAAGAAATCTGGCCGGAAAATATTTGAATTTTTATCTTTTCTAAACATAATTTATGGGTGGCTTTTATTTGCCCGTGTCCCCCGATTGTGTGTGTTGTATGCTTAACAAGCGACCAGATATTAGCATATACACATGGGCGTAAAATGTGTGTGTTTCTCTGTTTTTTTTTCTGGTCACAGTCAATATAGTTTATGTATATGAACATATGTACATACTATATATGTACATATATGTATATATTTCGTAACGCTTCAATGGTCAAGACCAGCGTCTGACTAAGAAAAACTATATAGTACACAGAACTGAAATATCAATAAAAATTATTATATAACAATTGGGTCTAGGAATATAATTTAATTATATATCTCATAATCTGTTATAATATACGACTTTTATTATCAAGATGTTCATTAAGCCTTTTTAACTATACAGAACACAGAACAGAAATATTATTATATAACAATTGGGCAGAGCAACTTGTGAGATCGCAAGGCAGGGTTTTGATTTATTCTGTTATAATCTCTTATACTATTATATTAAGAGCTTCTTGAAGCCTTTTGTAACTACATAGTACAAAGAAATTATTATATAACAATTGGGTTTAAGTATATAGGTAAATTATATATATATTATTATATTATATATCATGTGTACTTATATCGCGAGGCAGGGTTTTAAGCAAGACTGTTATAATCTTTTATACCATTATATTAAGAGCTTCTTTAAGCCTTTGTAACTTTTCAGTACACAGAATATAATTAAATTGTATACCATGTGTGCGGTTAGAGATTGGGCAGAGAAATTTTCAGAGTTCTCTAGGCAGGGTTTTGATTAAAACTGTTATAATTGTTGATTATATAACACTTACATATATTACGTCTTTAAACCTTTAGAATATACTAAAGTCTTGGCTTAACTAGTAAGGATTAGGTTCCTTCTTTAAGCCTTTAAATTAGTAAATTAGTAATAATTAAGTTACTTTTGAATTCCCAAGAAAAGTCTAGAAAAAGATTGCTTCTTGGTGCTAAGTAATTATTTCTTTTCGTGCAGCCCTGCGAAGCGTAAAGCAGTGCGTGGACAGGGAATGCATCTAGGAACGGAAATATATACATATATATATAATAAATATACATATATAAATATATTGATCAAACCTAGTTGAGCTCCAGCATAAATAGTGTGTGTACGCAATCGATGACGCGAAACGCCACTGAAATGTATCTGGTTCTTGGCCTCCGATTATACGGTTTACGGTTTACGATCTGTTTGTCTGTGAAGTTCAACAGAAGCCACTCAAGTGTCACACATATGGGTATAAATATATATAAAATAGAGTTTTGAAGCTGATAAAGCAATATCAAAGGCTTTAAGCAACTCTTGCTGGCTATCGCTATCTGGATTAATAATTGCTCAAGATAGATAAGCCCAGTATCAAGTCAATGATAATACAATAAATATAGCTCTATATACATGTCTCGTTAATAAGATATAATAGCCTGGCTAAGACAGAGCCTGTAAGCTGATGAGCTCACTCTCTAGAGCTTCGTCGTTGTCGTGCACTTAGTCAGCATCAATTACCTAAAATATATATACAAATACACAAAACCTGGTCAAGTATTTGCATCCCTGTACAGTAAAGAACGGGATTATAGGTATTACTAAAAATAATAAGTGATGTAAAAGGTATTTATAACTTTTTAGGAGATTTTTTTTATAGATTTTTATAGACTTTTATAGTCTTATAAGAACCCCCAAATTGACCTAATTAGATAAAAAACATTATTAACTCCTAAAAGGTTTATTAAATGATCTTTCAGAGACTTGATAACACCGTCATGGCTGGCGCTGTCTGTGTCCCATACATGGGCTAGTGACAATCGATCGCATTCGACAAAAAAAAAAAAAAAAACAAAAAAAACCAAAACAAACACCGACATATAGTAAACAGTCAACAACAACCAACTGTTGTGTATCTGGGCAACCGCCTTCGTTAGGCAGTACAAAAAAATTCTTGAATGACACCCGTTTGTGTGCCGCTTTTGGCGAGAACATTAAAATCTAAAATTTAAAATCCGAAAAAAAACAAAATGAAACAATGCTCTGGCTATGCAGCTTCCAAAAAAAAATATATATATATTTCTTACGTAATGGTTTATAATAAAAACGTTCTCAAACGCTGCTCTCCCTTTTCCCGCGACAATAATAAATCTGTGGCTGTGCACTTCCGAGCACATGAGTATACCAACCTATGATGTAGGATATATATACCCACTTGGCCCTGGCATGCATAGAGTTATGTATAGCCAGTCCAAGTCCATGTCCAAGCATATATATCTCCGATCTAAGGCACATATATACACACTCGCTGGTGCTCACGCTAATTGTTAGGGCATATCTAATCGGAAAGCCTTTTCACAAATTGGATTGCAACTCCGGCTTTTCGGGGGGTTTTGTTTTTGCACCTAGGATCAAAGGGGCGGATGAGTAATGGGCCTGAGTATGGGGCAAATTAGCAATTTGGCATTTGGCAGTCAGGTGTCCAGGCATAGACTTATCGCTCATGGCTACCGAATTTGAGGAGGAGTAGCAGGAGGAGGAGGAGGTTTGGGAGTCCCATTATCGACACACCTCGTCTTTGATAACGGGGCGTATGAGTAATGGCCGATTAGCCAGTCTTTTAACTATCCGCACATCTGGCTAAAATGAGTCATGGTCAAGTTAACCTCAAGTCTTGACAGTTTGCCAGCTAAAAGATAACTTCTTTGTGGTTATGTTATGTTATCCCACATTATTTATTCAAAGGGTTAAGAATATACATATACCCCTTAGAGCTGGGAACCAGGCAGGTGCAAGTGCTGCATTTATGGCTTTATTTTTTGGTGGCAGCCTTAAGTGGAGCACCTGTATATATGTATATAGTGCGATGGGACTATCAGCCGGCTATCGCCAAAGGCGTCCGATAAGATTAATTGCCACCAAAAAAAAAGTACCATTGGACAGACAAAGAAACAAAAATAATAATAAAAGAATATACCAAATGGCCAATTGTGACATCAAGGCTTTCGAGAGATAAGTCTTTGCCCGATCAGGGTGAGCTTGGAGAAAGGTCTACTCGATTTACTGGACCTTCTTCCTATAGCTAGCCAAGCAAAAAGTTCCCGCAACTGTACCATTAACCATTAACCCGGCTTGTTCGTGATAAACGGAGCTTGTCGGGGCCAGGAAAAAAAATAAGTAAAAATCAATAAATAGCACTTAATAACCAACAGTTTATGGCGATGGTAATCATATCAGCAATTCCCCTGCCACACAGAAAGAAAATCAGGGTGATATTGCAATGAAAAATTAAGTCTTTTTGGATTTCGTTTAATAAAACTTTTGGCTTTACCTTAAGTTTTGAAAAACTTGAAAGCTTTTAAGGGTTTTTAATATTTCCAAAAATCTTTGGCATCATTGGTATCCTTTTTATTTCTCTCTGTGCACTTGCCTCCCACTTTATTTATTCAGTATTGATTTTCAGCGACAACCAACGACAGGTTAATAATGCATTTTTCATGTGTACTTCAGCAGGTTGTGGTTGTCCTTTGACCTTAAGCTTTATAGAACTTTTTTTTCTTCTAGACTTCATTCAGAGTTTTCAAAATTCCAAATATAGTTGGGGGAATCTGTGGACTTTCAACACCTGCTTGCCACTGCCCCCGTACGAGTACGACTACCTCTACGACTCTCAGTACTCGTACGAGTCTTGTGTTGGCGTCCAACGGTTAAGCTCTGTGGGCGAAGGCATGGAGAGATGGAGGGTATGGGGGACTCGGATCAAATCACCGCTTGACATGGCCAACTGGTGGAGCTGCCCACACGGCGCCACACGCTATGTGGCTGTGGGAACTGTCCGACTCTGTCTCCAAATTCCAGGGCAAATCGAACTGTATAGCTCCCATGGTTGCCTATGATCGGTAACCACATGGCCCTGGACTCACATGTTTGCAGTGCCCGCCCTATCTTATCCGTAAAAGTCTAATGAGATCCTCACATACAATACCTTATATATACACCTATTTGGTTTATTTGTACAGTTATCGAGGGACTTTTGGCCTGCTTAAGTTGTGGGGAAAGCGAAGACCCAAGATAAAACCGTTCCACAATATCGATTCCGATATATGTCCTCTATATGTGTCTGGGAACGCTATAACTTTCTGATTTTATATTTATTATTTGGCAAATGTTTATGCGAAATTGGATTGCGCCAAATGGCATGGGGAAATTATAAATAAATAATACTCAATCGTATCAAATTTGATTTCGAAAATATGTGGAAAATGAAAAAGATTTCTTCCTCAAATAAAAATTTGAAAACAGCTTTAAAATAAAAACTAAAAAGTACCCTAGAAAAGCAAACAATTCAGTGAGCTCCTACCATAAAATATCCGGTACTCAAATCATAGTAGGTTAGATAAAACTCTATGGATTTAGAAGTGAAGAATTTTTGTCTATAATATTTCAGATATATCCATGAATAAAAACTGAATTGAAGACATAAATGTGTAGTTTCCAAAAAACCCAAACCCTTTTCATATTTTTTGAATATTTTCAAACATTTTCGAGTTTGAAAAACCCATATTTTAAACTACTAAAACTGTATTCTGGACAAGTCTATAATGAACAGATATATCTATGAACAAGATCTAAATTAAAGAGTTGAATATATTCCAAAGATCCTAACGCTTAATATTTTATAAAAGAGTTTTACACGTTTTCCAACTTTTTCGAGTTTGAAAACCCCATATCTTGTATTACTTACAAACTGAACAATCTTTAGGATGCCCGGCACTGTCCGGAAATAGTCAATGTTGAGACGAATGGCGCTCCAGAAGCCGCCATCGTTGCCACCGGTGGGATTGGGTCCGCCGGGCGGTCCATTCGATGTGGTTGTTGTTGTGCGCTCGACGGTGACCACGGTCTCGACCATTTTGTTGCTGGTTTTAGGTTAGTTAGGAGGAGTTTCTGGGCAGAGAAGCAACTATTTTTAAACACTTGTCGCGCGGTTTTTTTTGTCACAGGAAAATAAGAAGACAAAAAATATATATCTTGATGCCTTATGGTCGATCGCCGGCTATATATCTGCTCTATATACGAGTGTATACGCGTATATGACACCCTCGCGCCTCTGACTTGAGTGTCTATATGCGTCTGGCTGAGTCCGACTGGGGGTGGGGGGGCGAGAGTGGGCAAGAGAGAGTAGTATCCGCGAGATTGCAGGCGTTGCTTTGTCCACGGCGGTCGCTGGTCGACTGAACTGCGAACTGTGGGGAACGCGAAAGCGAACGCGAAGGCGAACGCGGCACAGTGGGGTAATTATAACCAAAAAGTGGCGATCAGATGGGGCACATTATAAATGGAGATAGATTTTGGTTTCTGTTAAATATAAAGGTAGTGCAGGATTTTATATTTATGTTTAATGAGGATTAACATTTTCTTTTTCATATTTATTTTAATTTTAAATCGTTTAATATAGTTATTATTATTATTTTTTAATTTTAAATCATTTAATTTAGTTTTTATTTTATTTAAAAAGTATTAAAAATAAATTATTGTAATAAAAATTTAATTTTTTTTGATAATAGTTTTCTTTTTTTTTTAAGCAAACTGTACATAACAAGTTTTTAATTATTTTTGACTTTAATGAAAACCGAGACAAAATTTTCTTTAAGCTCACATTTTAAATTTTATTAATATTCCTATAAAATTTTTTATACATAGTTTTTAAATATATTTGATAAATTATTTCTGTCTTAACATTAGCACCAAATATTTGTAAAATTCTGTATTGATGTACTTTATTTTTATTTATTATTTTTTCAAATTACCAATGTTTAAAAAAAGGAAAACTTTTGTTTGTTTACATAGAAGTAATAAATTATTTTTAATCACCACCTTTGAGGTATAAATACCCCACTGTGCGCTGCTGCGGCTGCAGCATAACGGTTAACTGAGCAGCAAAGCAATCTCTTGCTCTCTCTCTCCCTCTTAGTTGCGCGCGCCCTTTGACGACGCCTCTGCTTGTTGCGTTGCAAAAACTAGTTTGCTGCGCCTGCGTCGCGTTTTCTGCATTGCAATTTTTGTTTGGTATGCTCGGCTGCACTCAACAAAAATACGAATGCTTAAAAAGCTATTTAAGATTATTTCAAACTGCAAATAATCGCATTATAGGAACTCTGCGCTTTTCATACTGTCTAATTTTGAATATTTTATTTATGTTGTTTTTATGTTGGAAACATAATTCATGTTTAAATATATATATATTTTTTTTGTGTTTTTGTTGATGTTTTATATGACTCGGAAAGCTGATCTGTGTTAGTTTTTATAATATTATTTTTATATTATTATTTTTTTTTATATTATTATTTTTTTTATATTATTTTTTTTTATATTTATTTTTTTATATTAAGGAATTTCTTGCTTAGTTATTATATTCTTCTACTTAAAATAAATAAGAAAAAAAATAATATTTGTTATTTTTTTATAGATAGATATTTATATAGATAAATAAGAAAAAAATAAAATATTTGTTATTTTTTTTCTTAATAATAACAAAAAAATAATATTTGTTATTTTTTTTCTTATTTATTTTAAGTAGAAGAATATAATAACTAAGCAAGAAATTCCTTAATTTCAATCTGCATACTTAATTTAATTTAAATATTAATCTATAATTTTATATGCTCATTATTGGGAAAATTAAAATTTAAAAATATCATAACTCGGCCAAAAACACTTTAATTCCAATACGGAAAGCGGTTTTGTGCTAGTCTTTATTTAAATAATAAATATGCATACTAAATTTTAAAATTTTGGGAAATCCAAATTTTTAGTCAATTTTTGATATTTTCAACGAAAAAAATTATAAAATTTATTTTGTTCCCTTAATGGCTCGAAAGACTCGTCTGGTAATGCTGATCAAGAATATATATGATTTGTAGGGTCGGAAATGACTCCATCAATGCGTTTAAGCTTTCTGACTGAAACTCCAATACCCTGCCAGGTTGTAATAAGTCTTCAACCGACCCTCGTTACCGCTCTCAAGTTGTCTGAGTGTTATTAGCGCGCTCTCTTTCTTTCCGTGTCTGGGTTTACTGTTGTCTCTTTCTTATTGGACAAAGTAAGAACATAAACTGGCCTAAAGGATCGCAGATTTTGTATAAAAGAGGGTATTTCAAGACCCTGTTGATGCCTCTTGAGCTTTGTACATAATTTTAGTACAATTATTAAGATAATTCCAATCTTCTGAGGCAGTTCCTTACCTTGCCCTCCCATGAAGAACTCCCCAAGAAATCACCATTAATGATTACCATTTAGGCAAAACGTTTGGTTAGCTTTTATTTTTTGGGTGCAGAGTACAAACTATGACAAAATTTCGCCTAATAAATATTATAGAGCTTACTTTTTGGGCTGCCCAAGAAGATGCCAGAGTCTAGTCTCTGGCTTAACTGGGTTTAAAGGGGGGAAACCCCTTAAACCCGGGGTCTGGACAGATACCGATCCTGGGGATCGGGGGGTGGACACGTATACAATTTTGGGTACAAATTCGCGTCAGAACTAGGTGGTAATTGCTTACGAAATATAAATAACTCTGCTGCCTTGCAAGCAAAAGGAATTTCGGTATCTTCGATCACTATCGATGCAGTTTTTGGAAAGCATTATTAATAATAATAATAATAAACAAAAGGAAATTTCGATTGTAAACAATTAGCAGTGCGATTGCTTTTCGGGACGCTGGAAAGGACTAGATAACAAGTACAGCACGCGGTGAGTTTTGGGTGTGTGCTTAGGGTAAGCTCTGGCTTTGACCATAGGAGTATTTAAAAAAAAAAAAAAAAAGGAGGACCAAGTACAAAATAGCTTTGCTTGTCCTTCTTAGTGCGTCTCCTTGGTATCCACCAGCTCCACCAAGGGCGGCACTGGCTCTACCTCGGCGCTCTGGCTACGGCTTCGACTGCCGCTTTGGCTTGGACTGGGACTGGGGCTGACATTTGGACTGGAGCCAGGGCTGGGGCTATCCCTCGTCGACGGGGTTATGGCAGGACTTAGGGGTTCTGGCAGCAAAGGTGGTGGTGGGATCACTTCGCTGGCTGCTTTCTCCTGGCTTGGATTCAGATTTGGACTGGGCTTGGGCTTGGGAGACTGCGTCATCTGTGGCGGCCAGTGGGTGGATTTGAGGATTCCGTTTTGGCTGCTGGTAGAGGCAGCCACCGATGAGGAGGGGGAGGAGGAGGAGGAGGAGGAGGTAGAAGCAGTGCTAGCTGCCAGGGCCAGCATAGATGAGGCTGAAGTGGAGGCTATATTGTCATCAATCTGTTTGCTGCCCCTCTCCCCATCCCTCGACTTGTCCTGGGACTTCTCCAGCTCCTTCTCCATGTCTGCAATCTTCTTTAGATAGCCCTTGTCCTGCGTGGGACACTCCAAATGGACACAATGAAAGATCTGCAAGCAGTTTAGATAAGTAAAGTTCTTAAAAAGTCGTAAGACTTCTAGGAAACTCACCTCATTCGCCGTGTTCCTGGTGCCCACGATGCGTATAAAGACCACGGGACGCGGTGTAAAGTGAAAATTCTGCCAGGAGCGTGCCTTGTCATTGCGCCTATCCACCACCATTTGCCAGTCCTTGCGATTCGTCGAGGTCTCAATGTAAAAGCTGTAGGTGCGATCATCGCAATCCCACAGCAAAAGCCTCATGGAGCCCACATGGTAGGGCTGGCCCAGGCGGACCACAATCTCCCCGCTGCCCAGCTGGTGGCAAGTATACCCCGAGTCCCAGTCATAACGCACATAGTCGCCGTTGATCAGGGCATTTCGTGTGCGGCTTACGCCGTCTGTCACAATGGCGCTCATCTCAATGGTGGCCACATTCGCCTTGGGCGCCACAAAATGATCAATCAGGCGCGGCACTTTGGCCGTGTGCATGGCCTCCAGACCCACCACATGGAATACCTAAACAATCAAAAGAGAAATTAGTATATTCCCGGGTTGCTTGAGGCAGCAACTTACCCTGTTGACCGTGTTCTGGGTACCCACCAGGCGGATGAAGCGCACGGGTCGCGCTGCAAAGTACAAATATTGCCAGGAACGGCAATGGTACTCACTGTAGTCCACCACACGATCCCAGTGCTGCTGATCGCCGGATACCTCCACAAAGTAGGAGTATGCCCTGCTATCGCTATCCCAGAGCAGCATGCGGATGTGATTGATCATGCAGAGGGTGCCCAGTTCTACCACAATGCCCGCATCATTCGCATCGGTGATGCAGTGACGCGTATAGCCATGCTCCATGTCGTAGGAGGTCACGTCGCCATCCAACAGGGCACTGCGGCATTCGCCCTGAATGCAACGCGACATGTACTTGGCGGTGGCCACATTCTCCTCCGGCCAGAGGGCCGCCCTATAGGGCAGCGTCTTGGAGGTGCTACGCTCGCTGATGGCATCCAGTATCTTGTCGGGTTCCAAAATGCCCGATGGCCGTACCACCTGCAGCAGATGCTCCAGATTCATGAGCGGCAGACGCACGAAGCTGACCACCGATTTGATGTCTACATTGGGGTTGTACCGGCTCCACTTCCAAACGGCCAGAAAGATTTGTACTTCCTGGGCGAAGAAGCAGTCGCGTCGCAGCACCTCCTCCAGGGATTCCTGATGAAGAGAGGGAGATGGTTAATTAGTAAAGGGTAAAGGGTTTAAGGAGCGCATGTTAATGACCCACCTTGGACAGCATTTTGAAGGAGTCATGCTGCAGCAGCTCCGCCGCATTGCGATCCATAAACATGAGGCAAACCTGCGTCAGTTCCTCCAAGTTGTACAGCCTGGCTGCATCCAGGATCATGCAGACATTGTTGAGGTCCAAATATTGACGCAAATACTTGGAGATGGCCATCTCCAGGTCCTGGAAACCATACTGATTGGCCATGCCCAGCACATCGATGATGGCATCCTCGTCCAGGTTGGACAGCAGCAGGGTGCCCGAGTATATGTAGCGCAGCAGCACCTTGAACGGATCCAGTGGCACCTCCAGCGGTATCTGGCGTTGTGTGGTCTCCGACATGCCGCCGTAGAGCAGCGCCCGAAAGTACTCGCTGCGGGCAGCCAGGACAACGCGATGGGCAGGCAGTCGTTGCTCCTCCACAATGAACTCCACGTCCGCATAGCGTTCGTTCATGCACAGGCAAGCCATGTCCGCGGAGAAGCGCTCACCCAGGTCGATCTCATCGGGCAGACCCTCGCCCTCCGGTCCGCCCGAAGCCTTGCCCGAGGAGCTTTGCGATCCGCTGCATCCCTGCATCTTGTGGTGTCCCTGGCTGCTCATGCCGCCGAGCACGCCGCGCGGTGTGTCGTGCGTTTGTGTTGTGCAACTGAAAAGAACAGTTACAGGCAAAACTGCGGCCTGCGAAACAAATGAAATGACGCCGCAACCGCTCTGCAAATGCAAATGCGAACGCTGTGGCCTCTAAGCTCTGTGGCACTCTATCTCCTTTGTCACTGGTCCCGGGCACCTCGGCTGTATGCACTTCCGCAGTTTTTAAGGCCGGACAAACGGTTTATTTACGCATTTCGTACGGAAATTCTTTGGGAATAACAGCAAATGTTTTTTTTTGTTTAGTGCCAGTGTGGCTGTGTCTTGGGAAATACTAAGATGGATTAAAACGTATTAAAATCTTCATAAATCGAAAACAAACAAAAGCAACGAAGAAGGAGCAGAACATCGATGTATCGCCATCGGTACTATCGATAGTGACATCGATGTTTTCGCATCCCTAAGCTCTGATCTTACCATCTCTAGTTGCGTAAAACCGTTCGTACTTGTTGCTTGTTGTGCTTGTTGCCGCGGCCAAACTTTTAATTTACGTGTGTTTGTGTTTGTTTATGTTTATGTTTGCGTTTGCGTTTGCGCATTCGAAAAGAATCACTTGTTGCGAGGATATTTGTTTGTTGATTGCTTTTATTGCGGTTTTCGGGTGACAAAAACCTTTAAGAAAAAGTAAAGAGAGAAAACCGAAAGAAGACGAGGAAAAGGCATTAGCTGTTTATTTAGTGTGCGTATGTGTGTTTATTTTTTTTTGTTCAAGTGAAAGCGTGTGAAAACTTGAGGTTGTAGCCCTCTCTCTCGCGCGAAGACACAGTTCGCTCTTCCACTTCCACTGTCGCTTTCCCAGGTGGGGATTGATCTTGGCATATCCTCGTTGCATATCCTGCCATTTTTGTGGTCAGCTAAAGCTTCCGGCCGATATGAAACCGCAACTGCATCGCCACAATCACAGTCACAGCCGCAGCCTCCGCCCTTCGTCTTAGCCGCAGGTGCAGCAGCCAAGCCAGGTAAGTGAATACCTGTGGGTAAGATCGGTGACCAATTGGCCACGGTCCGATAACACGCCGTCGGGTTACGACATCTCCAGTTAATCTGATTAGCTGAGAGAGCCAGCCCCAACCCCAGCCATTCATCAATCAATCCATCAATCGCTGAGCTCCGTTTTGTCTGGGAAGTGATTCTTCCCTACCGTACACTGCCAGAAAAGGGGGTTACTATAAAAGGGGTTTTTAAAGAGAAGTATAAATACCTTGCTAGGCCGATAAATATTAATTTATTTATTTATATTGGGGAAATCAAATTATTCGCTTGATATTTGCCTAGCATTTTTCGCTCTGTGTAGCTTAGAATGGGGAAAGCAAGCAAGATGTAAACGAGTTCAAGCAGGGATCACAGTAGAGGTTTCATTTGCATGGTGGATCATGGTGGTTTCCTGTACAAAATTAAGCGTTTCCCTATTATTTTCTCAGATATTTCCCTTCTTATTTTCTTTACCCTGACACCTACTGAGAAAAGATTATGCTTATGGGAGATTAGTTGGAAAGAAAACACTGTTTGGATTTTCAGAGAGTTCTGAAATTAGTTATTTTTAGGAGTATAGGACTTTTTAAATAACATATATGTTAAATATATTTATTGAACTTGGTGGCAAAAAATTTTAAATAACATTTATTCATGGCTTCTGAAGGTCTCTCTTTATAGCTTTATATAGTATTCTCTCTCCACAACTTTACTCTTATTTGGGCTTGTTCTTGTTTCGTTTTGGCAATTTTATTTTTTTTTTTAATGTTTTTTGTAATGTTTGGCTTTGCTCTGTGTTTGTATTTTTTGTGTTGATTTTTTGGCTTCCCCGGTCTCTCATTCGGACTCAAGTAGTTGGGGTTTCGGGGTCAGCCAGCAGCGGCTCTCGTATACGTGATGTATTTTTGCCATATTTCAAGTGCTTCACTGATTGATGGCTAAGGTTTGCTTCAGTTTTTGGAAATTTTATTTATGGTTAAACCAGAAAAACACACTGAAATTAAGAATCTTGTGCCGAAATAATGTAGCAATTTGGGCATAATACTATCTTAATATTATTTTAAATTATAAATTATTACCTTAATAATTAAAAATTTTCTTAATATTCGGTTTATTTATTGATTTAATGTTAACCTTTTAAAAACTAGCACAGAACAGCTTTCCGAATTTAAATTAATACTTTTTTAGCTGAGTTATGTTATATTTTTAATCTTTGTTTTTTCCAACAAAAAAATTACCATTTAAAAATATTATATTTTACGTTTTCTTTTGGTTAGATGCAAACTTCGGCTTACCAAAGTTAGCTTCTTTAACCACTGTGCCGTTGTCCCCAATTGCGTAAAGTTTGTGTAGCTGCTTGCTGCGGCGATTTTGTTGATTTTTTCCCCGATCTTGCGACTCGATTTTCACCTGCCCAAGCAACGCCTTCAGGTGCGTAGCTCCGCCTGAGGTGGGTAATCGATGCGTTCGCAAAATGCTGTTCCCGTTAAATGTTGTCGCCGCCAAAAGATTGTTAATTGCCGTTGTTGGTCGGTTCGGTCGCCAAACCCGTACACACTATATGCTATATAATATACCATATATCATGGGAAAGGAGGTTTGGAGAGGCAGAGTCTGCGTGCGAGAGCTGCCTTGTAATTAAAAATCATCGTAGGTTGAGCGCCGATTTCTTAAAAAAAAAAAAAAAAAAAAAAAAGCTAAAAATTAGAAGACAAATAAAGGGAACAAGAAATACTCTTTCAACATTTTCCTTACTTATTAGTTGTTACAACCGAAGAGAAGACATTTCTTTGGACGATTATTATTAAGTAGCAAATTTCTGCTCAATTGGAGCAACAAGTCGGGCACATATGGAGCAAATGTCAATTTAGCAATTGTTCAAAGCAAATTGCGTGAGACTCAAACGAGTTGAGGCTGTAACTGAAGTCGTACAAACAGCTGAAGGGTCTACAGAAAATGGAAAGCCTTTTCATGGACACGACAATGAGAAGGGCCCGCTTACCTACGGTTAAGGAGTACATTGTGGTCGAGCAGGATTACCAGAAAACCATTGCCAAACTAAGAGCCTTGTAAGCTCTGTCTTCGGATTGGATCCAAGGAATGTTGATTAGTAATGTATTTCGTTTTCCGTTTTCTAAATATATTGATTACAAAATATCTTATATTGCGATAAGCCCAGGATTTTGTCGAATAAATAATGTCTTCAGACGATTCTAGTTCCCCTTCCTATAGATGAGTTAAATTGTGGAATATGAAGTGTTTAGCTTCTACTTCCTTGAGTGTTGGTATGCACATAAAGAAACCTAATATTCCCAAAAGCATGTGCCCGCCTGCCCTCCCTTTGAATTCCATTTCGGATTTAGCTTATTATTGAGTGCAGCAACTCATGGTACTCTGGTGCTCCCTCTTTCTGCATCTCCCTTTAGCTTTGCTCTAAATAAAATTCTTAATTGTAATGAGAAGACCGTGGGGGAGGACAGAGGGCAGGAAGGGGCATGGAGAAATCCAACCAAAAAGTTAGAATCTGCATGGAAAGGGCACGTGCCTGGGCCAGTCTAAAAATGATCTCTGCTAGAGGAGGGCTGATGATGACGACCATTGTAAACAATAAACAGATCTTTGATTGCCGCTGCACATGTGGGAAGTACATATATATAACATAGATACATATGTACACTCTGATTTCCATCCTATTTGTGTGTATCCCCAAGCTCTGGGTACTCAGTGCTTGCAAATGGCAGAAAATATAGAATTTCTATAAACTTAAACCACTTTTAAGGCTGTTATGTAGCAGAAATTATTCAAATCTAAAAAAGCTAAGAATGATCTTTAAAATCGTTTCTATTCTTTGATTTTTCTGTATTTTTTGTTAGTTTATTTTGAGCTTCAAAAGTCAAGATTCAAGAGGAGAGACAAAGAGAAACATTTTAATGAATTATCATAGTGCCGGCTATGATGATGATAATGATGATGATTATCTATTGCGGGCTGTCATTGAACCTGCTGTTGGTTCCGTCGCCAGGCCATTGTCTTCCAGTCGGATCTTGGATCTCCCAAAGACATAACTATATATACTCGTTGGAATTGGAGTGGAGTGAAGCCCCAGACTCATGACCATTTTTGGGCTCGCTTTTGGGTCTGTCTTGTAATTATATTCGATCTTTTGTTGCTCTTTTTCGGGGCTTCTTGCTTAAGGCAGCCAAATTTCAACAACATTTCAACTGAGCAGAACATCGAACCAGATAGGACAGTAACAGGGAGGACAGGACAGGACCGGACAGTAGTCGTAGCAGCCGGTTTCCTTGCCGTTTGTTGTCGTTTTCCGTTTGCTTTTCTGTTAATCGATTTTAAATTGCAGATTGATTGATCGATAAACAGGTTTTCTTCCCCGCATCCGATTGTTACACATCGTGTAATGCGATCGCTGCACTTGTCAAACTCTCTTCGGTCCCCCCCTCTTGTCGATGGCCACTTGAGATGCATTTCCCTCGAAAGAAATACCATCTTGAGTGCAGTTTCCCAGAGCATTTTCCCTTCGAATATTGCCGAAAATTGTTCCATGTGGAAGCAATCATTATCTGTGATCCGTATCAGTGTCGTGTTTATTATTATTTTTGGTTTTTTTTCCGCTTTGAGCAAGACCATGCTAAGAATCCATGTCTAAGATTGATTGATTGTTTTTTTCGGGGTGTTTAGCATCAATTTCAAAAATGTCTAAATTGATTTCGATAGTAATTAATCTAATTTTTTGTAATATGCAAATATATCGATTTTTTAATATTATGCCAAAGAAGAGAAGATGATACAAAATTATCAAGACTTACGACTCGCTGGGTCTTGTGCCACAAAATAAATTATTGTAGACTCCAAATCGTTTTAAATATGTTTATATCTAGATTTTATTTTTATTTTAACTAAAATTGAATTTGTTTCAATTTAATTCTATAAAATTAATTTTATTAAATTAACTAATTTAATTTATTAAAATACAAACCACAGTGACTAGATTCGCCTTTTAATTTAACAGTAGATCAGAATAAGAACTTGAGAATTTTAAGACTACTGAGAGGAATTCTAAAATTCTCAAGTCCTTATTCTGCTCTCAAGACCGCTGGCTGGTGTCTCTCTCTCTCTCTCTCTCTCTCTCTCTCCGTTATCTTTCTCTCACGCGACCGCTTTCACCGTAGTCAATTTGAGTGAGAGCCACCGTTAAAACTGCATTCGGGTGGCCCAAAACCTGTCCAGATCGATGCCTGTGCGATGGACTTTTCCCCAACAACAACAACAACAAGCAACACGCAACATGTAGCATTTTC